CCAGGAGACTCTTTTATTTTCATGTCGACTACACTATTGCAAGGGAGACCAAGCACTTACTGTTAGGAAAGTGTGGCCACTGAGCATCCAAAGATAAGGGACCTTTAAAGCTCAACGGCCCAGGCCGCTTCCTCAGTTTGGTCAGTAAGGAGATCTGGGCAAACTGGAAATCGCATCCCTAAAATTCAGGCAGGAACTACTTACTGGCCACGACTGGACTCTTCTGAGTTCTAGGTCTCCTATTTTTCTTCTCAGTGTTGAAAAATGAATGGAAAACATCATCCAAAAGCCTCAGAGAAACCCTGTCTCAAAAAACAAAAACAAAACAAACAAACAAAAAAACCTCCCAAACCTTTCCTTCATGTGATTTGCATAGCTGGTAGAAATAGTGAGCTAATCTGCACAATGGTTGTAGAGGAAGATGTAGACATGAGAAGCACCTGTGTGTACCAAATAGTCAGCCCTAGACAGCTCCAGACCCATAGCTACACTGGGAGTCCTTGTTAAAGTCAGTGGGTCCACACAAAAAGAGAGGCATGACTGTGGAAAAGAGATCTGTCGGGAGGGGAGGGTTACTTGGGTAAGGGGGAGTACGAAAAGTTAGGGAGTAGGAGTAACCATAACGCATGACACACATGTGGGATTGTTAAAGAACACTAAAATTAGGGCGAGTTGGTCAACACTAGCAGAGAGGTGAGATGAGGTGGCAGAGCTTAGAAAGACGCGTAGAGCTTCAGGAGCCATAGGCTCTCGCCTCCTGTTCAGTTGTCGACCTTCTCAAGCCTACCTTGTTAGAATGCTTACTCAGCATCTCTTACTCTACGTCTTCCTCACTGTTGGTTTCCGTCTTTGTTTTCTTAGCTGGTCTGAAGCTTTTGAGCCCTCTCCCTCCCCACAGAGAGCTTCCTCTCAACCCCCTTTAGTTCCTCTCTTCCCAACCCCACCACCTTTCCCTACCCACCTCGTCTACACTGGTTGCATTTCTTCGAATTCCTTCCTTTAAGCTGGTGTCGGTTCTTCAAACCCTGCCTGCACTTCTCTCCCGAGCTTTAGTAGCCTCACCAAACATTATATGGATGGCCGACACCTCTTCAAGCTTGTTCTTTCCAGTGCTCATCTTGAGGGTTCCCTTCTCCCCTGACATCCGTTCATCCTCAGTATTCCAGTTTACCCAGCTGCCAAACCATGGGCATGAGTATCATCCTTGACTGCTCTTGTATCCACTTAGTTACTGACTGTGCCTTCTGATGGAGACTCAGATCCATCACTGCCCTATGACACCACCTGTGTCCAGACCACACCCTCTTGTGAACTACCGAATTACCTGCTCCTTTATCTCCTACTCTTGGGCATAACTTGTCTTCAGTCTCCTGCCATCCAAGAGCTAACGCTTCCCTCTCCTTGACCGAATTCTTCACTGGTTACTCCAGCTGCCTTGTAATGCACTCTGTAGACCCAGATGGTATCGTTTTCTGTTTTGTTTTGTTTTTCTTTTCTTATCCCCTACCCTGAACACATTTCCCTTTTTTTTTTCTTTCCTGGTGCATCTGTCCTGATTAGAGTTACATGGATGTCCTTCATGGTCTGAAGAATTCCACCTCTCCGGTGTCATAACCTTTCCCTTTGATTTCATCCCTTTGTGTTTGTGTATGAGTCAGTGAATTTTCAGCCCTGTAAGGCAGAACTTTGTTCAGTGCATCCATGTCTCCCGGTTTCTTAGTGCTGTAGCTGGGCCTGTGTGCACCACATACAACAAGTGTTTCTTGAAGGACATGAATGTTCTTCAGAATATTTTCACACCCACATCTCAGTGTGGGTAAAGCCAAACAATTGGAGAGGGTTTAGGGAAACATGAGCGGTGGGTGGATTAGAAGATTACATTAGCTGAGTTGTTTTGCACTAGTAGCAGGAAGAAGACGTTCGAATCAGTAAAGCTGGTTTACAGTTAGAAGCATTTAATTCCACCCCATAGAACACAAAGGAAGAGATGTTTGTAAAACTAGCTTGCACCAGCTTTAATATCATCTCTCTCCTAATGAAGAGCGGTTTCTATGTTGTGAAAATATACATTTTAACATTCAAAGAGATGTCAAAGTATTAATCATTTAAAATCATTTTTCCCTACAAGAAACTTTGTATAATTTTCCTATTTTGCTCAATGAACTCAATTGACTATACTTAACTATAATTTATTTTAAAAAATGATGACAATATTTTTTTGAATTTTAATTTGTATTTTAAAGACAAGTACGCACTAAAAAAGATAAGGTGGCAAACAGTAACAAAATCTGTGGCAATAAAACCTAAGTTAGGTATTTGTGGGCAAAGTAAAGCAACCTGGAAATCTGTACAGAAGTCACCACTTGACAAGATACAGTACTAGATGTCTTCAGCTCCCCTCAGATAGGCTCTTCCCAAAGCTGGGGAGAGTCCCCAGCGTGCAGTAGATCTTAGAGCAAAGAATTGAGATGACAAGGTGCATCTGATGCCATCCCTGCAAAATGAGCTTCATGTTGAAGCCATGGTAGAGATGGCCATGTGTCCAGTTTTAGATGAGTGCCACCCATATTACACACATTGTGTAAAGTTTCTCAACGTGTAAGGGTTAGATGTTTTCTTCAAAAGTACAACTTTGAATCCGTTTGACCATTAAAATACATTAATTTAGAGCCCATTATTCTCTGTAAAATATACAAAAGAAATGCTTGCTTAGAATGTTTTAAAGAGAGGGTGCATTTGCCTTGCCAGTCTGCCTTTGCAACAAAGCCATGCTAATGCTGATTTAGGGGATGATTAGTACATATTAACTCTCTCTCTCTCTCTCTCTCTCTCTCTCTCTCTCTCTCTCTCTCTCTGTGTGTGTGTGTGTGTGTGTGTGTACATATATGCATACATGTGTACTTGCTCTTCCTCCTTCTTCTTTGTCCCCTTCCTCATCTGGAATAGTCCCTTTATGCTTTCATTTCCCAACTTTTTAATCCAAGTTTTGCAAATGACAGAAAACATGCAAAAATTTGTCTTTCTAAATATAGACTAGTTCTCATGACTTGATAATCTCTAGTTTTATCAATTTTCCTGAAAATTACCTAATTTTATTCTTCTTTAAGTTTGAGTCTAACATTTCTGTGAAATGAGTTAGCTCAGAAAATGAATCCTAGCAACTGAACCTGAGATCTGTTGAGTGGAGCTTCTTTGGACTTTCTGATGGAAACAAGAGAGTAACTGGCTTGTGTCATCCTGGTTATTTCTGGGTGTGAGAATCCCATGGCCAGTCTATATAAGGATGTTTACCATTTTCTTGTGATGGAAGAGGACATGCAATTGCCTCCCCTGAGGTCTGGACATCTGCTGAGTTGTTAAGATTTAACAAGAAACGCAGAGCATGTTCAAGAGACTTAGAGATCGAAATGACTTGTAGAAGTCTGCTGTCCTGTATCCTCTTTCACGAAACTTTAGAGCAGCTTCTAGGTTTGGAAGTAACAGTAGTATCCATGTTTTGATCTCAGAGGACCTGGTGGTAGAGTCAGGATGGGGATGAGGTGGAGTCAGGATGGGGATGATGTAGAGTCGGGATGGGGATGAGGTGGAGTCAGGACTGAGGATGAGGTGGAGTCAGGATGGGGATGATGTAGAGTCAGGATGGGGATGAGGTGGAGTCAGGATGGGGATGATATAGAGTCAGGATGGGGATGAGGTGGAGTCAGGATGGGAATGAGGTGGAGTTGGGATGGGGATGAGGGGAGTCAGGATGGGGATGAGGTAGAGTTAGATGGGGATGAGGTGGAGTCAGGATGGGGATGAGGTGGAGTCAGGATGGGGATGAGGTAGAGTTAGATGGGGATGAGGTGGAGTCAGGATGGGGATGAGGTGGAGTCAGGATGGGGATGAGGTAGAGTTAGATGGGGATGAGGTAGAGTCAGGATGGGGATGGAGATAAAGTGAAGACTGGGAATGAGGTACAGATAGGACTGAGGATCTACTAGTAAAGGATTCCAGGCATTCAATTGCCCTTCATAGTTCCTGTCTAGTAAAGTATAATCACCAAGATTACAATGAGAAAGAATTATTCATATTAAATAGAGAGATTCCCATCCCTGTCTAGTAAAGGAATGTGGCTCAAAGCCGTGCGGGGTGAGCCACCCCAGAGCCATCTGAAACCCGGGTAGTGTAAAGGTTATCTGATGGGAATGGGACTATAATAAGGGGTGAAAGTGGGCTGTGTTCATTCTGGACACGGGATAAAAATCTTCCACGAAGTCCAGAACTATTCAACTCTTCCTCCCAGCCTTTTTGGAGTTGTTCTTTATTAGTTGTGGTTTCTTTGCCATTTTTCCAGTGGTTTCTTTGAATCAGCCAGATGAGTAATTTTAATGTTATGCCTGATGTCGGATGTTTGCTTCAAAGAGATTAAGACACGAGAAGAGCCCAGGTTGGTGCTAGACCAAGGTGGGCTCTTTCTAAAAGTCTGTTCCCCATGTCAGGTCAAACTCGAATTGTCACATAAGATGAGGGAGAAAGTGGTGATTTTCAATTTTAGAAGGAAAAATATGCCCTGTGACTCAAATATCCCTGCCCTGGGGCTGGTTGTCATTTCGTCTCCTCCCATGTGCCAGAATCCTGTTTGTAGCTGGGGGAGCCACAGCTGAATCAAATACCAGGCTCCCTGGGTGGCCAGGGCCATTTACGGAATCAGGTAGAAATGGCTCAGACCACTAGGGAAGGGACAGCAGCTTATCACAGGGACACCAGGGAAATAGAGGCAATGCGGTATGGCCTGCTGTCTCACACCCTTAGCTAAGGTTCAGTGGCTTCTGACTGCACTGTACTTTCAAAACAAGTTTTAGATTCTCATATCTCTTGAGCTATTATTTCCTAAAGCAAGTAGAAGATAATGTAGGATTTTAACTAAGTGGAATGAGCCTTGCTCTTTAAGCTTCCCTGTGAAGCTTTTCTTGGCACCGTGGTGGTGGGACTTGAAAGATCCTCTTATGTTCTTACAGAGTACAGTACGATCCACAGCCCTTCAACGCCCATTAAAGATTCGGATTCTGATCGTCTGCGTCGAGGTTCTGATGGGAAGTCACGTGGCCGAGGCAGGAGAAACAATAATCCCTCACCTCCCCCAGATTCTGATCTTGAGGTATGTCACTGCCCATACTCAAATAAGGGATGAGGTGACACATAGCTCATTAGTGGGTCAATAGAACTGGCCTGTGGACATCAGCAAATACCCCAAAACTTTGGTCATTGGTTGTTATTCATATTAACAAAGTAATACATTTTTTCCTCTTTCATACAAACTTTTCATAGTTGATACAATATGCTAGTGGCTATTTCTGCTGTTGTTCTATAGCCCAGATCTCAAACAACCTGCATAAGTTCTATTGACTGTCTTCCTGGCTTTATTGTAATTGTTTATTTCTGTATTTCTTTTATAATGTCTATGCAGTTTTCTCAAGAAATACAGTAGCCAGATGTGGTATCACACACTCCATATTCCCAGCACATAGGAGATAGAGGTAGAAGGATCAAAAACTTCAGTCATTCTTGGCTTACAGTGTTTCTGAGGCCAGCCTAGGTAACAATCTAAACAAACTTGGTAGCTCTGCTTAAACAAGACCGTACCGTACCACTGTGTATAACTGCCATTGCAATTAAGTAAGTGCCATTCGTAAAGAGCTTTACTAAGCTGTGTACATTGAGACAGGGAAATTTGGAATGTTCTAAACTGAAGTGGTAATCAGCTACTGAGACATGTTTTGGTTCAGTTCAAAAGCAAGAGGATTAAGCAAGAACTGTCAGGGTGGCAGATTTCATTGCCTTTGAAGCCACTGCAATTAAGTTTCTGCTTTTTGCCAGATGGTGGAAAACTTGATTATTCTGGCTGAAAAGATGAACATTTTTCCAGCAGCGTCTATGTACATGAACATGTGCTGGTGTGAGGAGGAATAGTAAGGAGAGAAGTAAGATAGGAAGACTTTGTAATATCTCAAAGGACTGTTTGAAATGAACTCCAAATCCAGTTCAAAATACCAGCGCCCCACCCCACCCCTCACCTGCCAAGTATCTAAGAGTATGTGTGACTTGGCTGCTCAATTCTGAAAACTGAAAACAGCCAATGAAAAATATATAGTTGGCCCTCAGCATCCACAGGAGACAGGCTTGAGGACCATCCTGTCGATACCGAAGTCCACCAGTGCTCAAGTCCCCCATATGCAACAAGCCGTGAGTTCACACATGCCCCATGTGAGTTCACACATGCCCCATGCAGTCTCCCTGTGTCTGTTGTGCATCTTGGGAGCTGAAAGCAAGGCCTGACCAATGCTAGGCAAGCTCTCTACCACTGAGCAGCATCTCGCATCTCCCAACAGTTTAAACCTTGTCTGGACTACTTACAATACCGGTAAAATGTAAATTATCTATAGATGGCTTTGTCCTGGACTGTTGATAGAATAAGAAGTATAAACATGTTCCATTGAGATAGTTTGTTTTTCTAAGTATCTCCAGTGCTGGATGCAGAACTCATACATGCTTAGAGCCAATCATATAACCTAGCCTTCTGATAACTGCCTAACCAGTGAATGAACTAGGTAAAGCTTCAAGCTCTGCATGAAATATTTACTATTTAATTAAATTAGAGTAAGTCACACTGGCCATTTTTAATTCTTCTCATCTTCTGAGGTAAGGCCTCTTTTGAATGACTTTCAGTCCTGGACCTTCTTTCAAAACTTAGGAACATTCTAGTTTCAACTCACCCATTCATCTCCTGGGAACTGAACTGGAGAATTACTACAGGATAAAAAAGACGTACATTCTATCTCCTTCTATAATTCTATTGACTTTATGAATACACTTGACCTCTTGTGCCTTTCCGTGATTAGACCTGAAAATCCAGGCGATACCCTCAGGAAGAGTTGTGTTTGAAAAAAAGCATAAGTTCTGATTTTTTTCTTTTGGATGTCCTTTCAAAACTACCTACCATGTCATGTCCAAATAGAGTGACAGCAGTGTTCTCAACTAGAGCAAAGATGCACTGACTGGCTCTTCCCTTGTAGAGAGTGTTCATCTGGGACTTGGATGAGACGATCATTGTTTTCCATTCCTTGCTCACGGGGTCCTACGCCAACAGATACGGGAGGGTGAGTACATCAAGAGCCATCTTTGAATTGCTAGAGAGCAAGTGTGCTACAATTTCCTTATTTACTTTTGTCCAGCGAATGGCATTTAACTTTAAGCAACACATTTAAGAGGTAAAAAGAAGCATGACTTATTAGTGTGGCCAAATACACACGTTAGACACAAACCCCTAAGTGGGGAAACAGACAGATTATTTTTAAGTCTTACGAACGAGGTAGTTTTCATTCAGTTCATACTTATTTTGACTTCAGTGAGGAAAGTGATGGAATGATATTTAAAATATGTAACAAGATAAGAACTTTTGGTTGTTCTTTTTCTACTGGTCCTGTCTTTTATTCTTAAAACATTTACTGGGTCAAGTGTTACTTGCTGTTGTCTGCAATGACTAGCAGGGTTGGTATTTTGCTTTTAAAACATCTACTATGGATACTTTTATGTAACCCTTTGGTGTTGGGACTAAATTAATGTAAATGGTATGTAACACTAAATTCCTGAAAGGTGGTAGTAATAATATACATGTTCTAGAGTTGTTTAATGTAAATAGTATGGTATTTAGTTTGCTGAGTTGGTAAAGAATAATGTTACAGATCACCTCCTATGAGTACACTGGTACTTGGGTTTCCCAAAACCTTAGAAATTTTTTGCAGTGTGTTGCTTGTTGGTTTTAAGAGACTTTACCCATGCAAAATCATGCTATTTAAAACTGGACATTAGGTATTTTATAAAATGGCCATGTGTGCATTTTTCTCATTTTTTAGTGGCTAAAGAAATATGAGCCTTACGTCCTTGAAGCTAAGATTAGTTTGGATCCCAAGAAAACAAATTCAAATATCAATGAAACAAGAGATTTATCAACATCAAAGCTGACACTGTAAAAATAAGTTTTCATTATAAATATAACCATGCGTTCACTTTTCAACAGATACTTACTTTAATAACTATACATTTAATCCCTGATGTTGACTTGAGTCTGGAGCTAAAAGTGTGGTATTGTCCCTTAAGCGGCACAGTCCATATTTGCTAATTGTTAACAATAAATCTAATCACAAAAAGTCTTGTAATGCTTGTGCACACACATATGCACACATTGTTATAAGGTCTGGACTACACTGTTATTGAGTTTATATTCAGTGGTATGTATTAAGTAAGTTCTCTGTGAGAAGACAATGAAAATTATGTCAATGAATCCATCAGTCATGAAATTTTAAAAAGCCTCTGCTAGGAAGTGAACACAGGAAGGATTCAGTAAATTCTTGCAGGGTCATTTTTATAGTGTTCATTTTTGTAATAGTATTATGCTTATATCAATCTCCATTTGAAAAACTAAGACAAAGGCTAATTATAATCTACTAGTAGTTAGTAGAGCCTTGGCAAGCATCTTATCTAAGACACAGGATGTCCCTACACTTAAAGAAGAAAGATGGTGGTTACTGGAACTCACGCAGACGTGTGGAGAAGACCACCTGTTTACATGGACGGCCTTTGGAAACTACAGACAGGCACCGCCTTTCCAAGTTCCCGCTAAACCACACTGATGCACAGAGAAAGTGGCCACTATTCCCAGAGCCACCAACAAGGCCAACTTAGAATAAGGTGGTAACACCACACACCCTAATGACTTCCTGGGAGCCTGTGGCTATAAATTATTGGTTTGCGTGTAGAGTTCCCACCAAGCTTGGAACCATTGGCTCGAATTGTTTCTTTCAGACTCTCAGCAATCTAGAGGCAAAAGGCTCAGTAATTCCCTACTTGTTAAAAGGTTATTTTTTAAAAAGTGTTGGCCATTTGCATTTTGAGACTTAATCAAATAGGATCCCACCTGTTATTTGCTGTTGTTGCAATAGGGCACATGATTGGTTTTTCTTGTTTTTCTCTCATATAACTCTCGAAAGTCACTTGCATGCAGTTTGTACACTAGGGCTCTGATCGGTTCCTCTGTAACTCTACTCTTCCTTGACACATTGATGAGCCTTACAGACAACTTCAGGAAGACCATTTTGTTTTTCAATTTTAGCTTTTATTTACGGTATTGTGTACATGGGCGTGACTGTGAAGGTCACAGGACAACTTGTGGGAGTCAGTCTTAAGACAAAGTGCGTGGGGAACGTTGGTGGATTCCATGATGGGTTCAGGGTGACCAAGGAGGGGACTGAATCGGAAGACAAACATGCCAGGCAGACAGAGCTTACGTGAGCAGTTTTATTAGAAAGGGAAAGGGAGGAAGGAAAGGAAAAAGGAGGTAAAGAGACAGAGAGAGGAGAGAAGAGGGAGACAGGAAAAGTCCTATCTGCCTTAGGGGAACAGCAGGACAGAGCTAAGTGGACAGGGATCTTTCTTTTAAAGGGTCCTTTGCACCTGCATCCAGACTGGTAGTCATGGAAAACTTGACTGACCAGGGCACTGCCTGAGTGCATTCTGCAAAGTGATATGGGGCAGGCCAGCCTGGATCCTTACAGTCGGTTCTCTCTATCCACCGCATGTGATCCAATGCTAGAATTCAGGTTGCTAGGCTGGTTTCCAAATGTCTTTTACTTGTAATCTCACAGACACCAGGCAGCCTGTTTGAGGAGACGCTTCCTGCATATAACTTTGCATCTGAAGCCAGAATGATCTCAGGTCACTGTGGCCATCAGGAAAAAAAAAAATGTTTTAAGCAGAAGAAACACCAAATTCAGCATGGAAGGTTTTGCTATTTGAGGGATAAAGGAGCTTGAGTGTGGTGATGGAGATAGAGCCTTTCTGCAGATGTGGTCAGGAATGCCAACTGAGTTCACAGGGCCTCCCAGACATCTGCACGAAGGCTTTCACTGTAGGAAACAAGAGGATGTCATGGGATATCTCAAGGGAGACGTTGATTGTCAGCTTTACATCACTTCACGAGTGCATGGAGAGTTAATGGCGGGGAAGAGAGATAATCGTGTTGACTAGCAGTCCAGAGACAAAGGTTGGATTTGGGTTTGTTTTGTGAGTAGAGAATAGAATGAGGAAGTGACTTGGATCTGGGCACAGGGCAGTATATCACGGGGAAGAGAGAAAGGTGATTCCTGGCTGGTGTCCTGAGCAACCGACAGAATAGTCATGTATATTTTTGAAATAAGGATAAACTGATTCTCAGGAAAACCTGAGGATTTGGACAAGCGTAGACAGTTCTGACATACTCACTTGACAAACAAGAAGGCAGCTGGCAGTGTTCTGGAAGAACTGGGCGGAGCTGGGTTCACAGCTTTAACATAAACATTGTGAACCGTAGGACCAGAGGCACCTCAAGTCCTTGACTGATTTCCTCCCAAAGATTTATTCAGCTTCTTCTCTGTGTTGGATGCTATGACCAGCCTGCTATCCTTGCCTGGAGACAGAGCTCCTGGTCAGGGATACTTGTGGGGGGTAGGGGGCAATGTACTGCTAATGATACTGGGAGGCAGCCAGAACTGTGCGAGAGAACTCGCTTTTTATTATCCTTATTAAAGGACATCAGAATCGGGTCGAAGTTGTTCTCAAATTAGGTAAACAATCCTTGAAAAATTCGAGGTTTGTTCAGAATTCTTCTAAACAATCAGAATAACCAAGCTGCCTTGCATCCCCTTTGTTCCCAGTCTGAAGGTAGCTTAGTGGCAATCTGCCTCATTTTGGAGGGCAGTTCTACTTATGTCCTTGACCATTGTCAGGGAAGCATGTGGCCCCGCCTTCCCTCTACATGCATAGAAAGAAATGAATGCCTGACAATGTGGTGGCTGTTCTGTCTCTATGGGAACCAGATACTTGAGAAGTAGCTTAGTCACAGTAGCTTAGGCAACTCAATGAGTGGGCCATTCAGTAAGGGGATACAGGATCTGGTAGATATAATGCAAAATTAGGGCATGTTATAGCAGTACATAACCCCCTCCAAAGGATTGAGACTATGCCCCCTTCTGTGTAACCCTAGCTGTGGGAAGAAGGCATGCTGGGTCTTATAGGGAAGTGTTTTATAACAAAGGTGGTGAGGACAAAAGGAAAGGGTGCTCTCTACAGCCTAGCTAAGGCAGAGGAAAGAAAGTACGTATTAGCAGGGATTGGAGTCTGTGGGTGTTAACTGTCATTAGGGTGCTTCTAGTAATCTGTATTCTAGCTGCTTTTGTTTAATGCATTTAAAAAAATGTCTCCAAACTATATCCAAATTCCTGAATTTCACTAAAGAAAAATTAGGATTTTTTTCCCCCTGTAGAATGTTCTCCTTAAAACAGACACTATAATCCAATTTTCAATATTGAATTATAAACCCCAAGCTTGACAGTATTCAACTTACTATTGTGTGGATGACTCAAGCAGGGTCCTTGCTCATGAGAAACTTCTGGAAGTATCTTTATCCGAGTGCCTGGTCCCTTCAACACTCCCTTTTTACTTAGTACCGTTCTCCTAGTGTGGATATTAAGAGTATTAACACTCCTTCCTTCATCATGTTATAGAAAGCTAAAGCATAAACAGTTAAAATAGGGAGCATGGCAGTAAGCTTAACAGGGTCAACTGTGGACCCTGTTCAAACTTCTTAACTGTCTCACATTCATTGAGTCCAACAAAAATGCCAGGAGGCTCCCTTACTGGAACGCTGGGCTGCTTATCCTGTTTGTTTGTTTTGTCAGCTTGGTTTTGTTGTCGTTTAGAACTACCTGTGCATGCAAGGGTGTACCTTGAGCACTTTGAGTATCTTGTTTCTACCTCCCAAGGCCGGGGATGACAGGCATGCACCCCTATTCCTGGCTTGTTACCAGGGTAATTTCTAGGTTATAAATTGACAGGATTTGAGATCACACGCAGAAAATACTTAAAGCAGAATATTATGCCTGGCATAAATTATTTGGTAAGTACATATATTTGAATGTAGATGAGACTTCGTTGTCGAAAACTAACTACAAGAGCAGCGACAAAACCCTTGACTCAACTGTCAACAACAGAGTTCTTGAATTGCCAGTGAGTGCTGAGGTGCAGTGGTTTCAGCCTTATGAACTGACGTGGCCTGTCCTGCGGC